TGATCCCAGCCCTGGCTCTGGAGCCTGCTGGATTATTCCTGCTGTGTTATTCTTTACTGGATTATTCTCTACTGGATTATTCCTGCTGGGTTATTCCCTGCTGGGTATTTCCTGGGGAAGCTCTGCAGGAAGGGGTTTGCACCCTGCACTGGGGGCTGAGCTGAGCAGAGCAGCCTCCAACCCCCCCACGGGAATATTTGGGAATATTGCTCCATGGGAAACATGGGAATCATTGCACTGCCCCTTGCTTGGGATCCTGTCAGTGATTCACCCAGATTCCCATTTTTTGCTCACTGCTGATGCCCTTCCCCTCTTCAAAGTCCCTTCCAACCCAGACATTCCATGATTCTGTTGGATGAACCAAACCTTTGAGTGCTGATGTCAAACAGCCCTGGGGCATCCCAGTGGTGCCCCTTTCCTTGGAAAAAACGTGAAGCCAGCTTTTGTAACTTCACCAGGCAGTGCTTATTCCTGGTTTGGTGCTTTTCCCTATTCCTGACTCCTATCCTGGGGACAGGAGAGTTTGGAATGTGCAGGAAACCGTACTCAGCCTCCTTTTCCTCCACATACAGGGAATTTTCAGCCCAGGAAAAGCCTCCCTGGAAAAGCAATTCCTGGCTGCCAGGGGTTGTGTTTTTCTCCCTCTATACATGGACGGGGCAGAGAGGGGCCTGGGTTCCTTCTTTTGCTCCCAGGGTTATCTCAGCTTGTGGTTTTACTCAGAAAATGACTCAAGAAAGGAAAACCTCCCTGCACTTGTTTCCAAACAGCTCCTGCAGAACATCCTGCTTGGGCAATGTTTGGGGAGTTGTTTTTTTCAGATGGCACCTCAGGACACAGCTCCAGGTCTCTGCAAGGATCAGAGCTGGATCCTTCTGGAGAAACTCAGTCCTTCGGGAATTGTGACCTATGGGACAGCTTGGCTGCCTCTTCCAGCCACCTATGTTCTGGAAAAATACACCAGGGGCTGGGAAAATCTGGGAATGGGGGTCACAGGAGGAGGGAGGGTTGGGGTGGAGTTGACAGAAAGGAGATCTATGGGAATGGTGGGAATGGCTCTATGGGAATGGCTCTATGGGAATGGTTCTATGGGAATGGCTCCATGGGAATGGTTCTATGGGAATGGTTCCATGGGAATGGCTCCATGGGAATGGTTCCATGGGAATGGCTCCATGGGAATGGCTCTATGGGAATGGTTCTATGGGAATGGCTCTATGGGAATGGCTCCATGGGAATGGCTCTATGGGAATGG